GGTGAAACTAGATCATACTAGGGAAGGAGGGAATCAGGCGCGGGGGAGTTTGAATGACTTAGAAGAAGCCGTCGCCGGTGGGGTCGTTCAGCCAGGGGTAGTTGTTGGGGCACCGGATGCAGGTCTGCAGGTTGATGGTTTCGCCGGGAACCTCTTTGCTGGTCAGCTTGCACGAGTGGGGCACCCAGCAGGCAGGCTTGCCCTCGACGACACACTTTTCCCTCCAGGGCTCGAAGTTCTTGACCTCGGCGATGGTGCGCGGGTTCTGGATCCATTGGATGACCTGTGTCATGGTCACGAAGTACACGTCGTTGTGGTTGGCCAGGATCTCGTCGATCCAGTACAGGAACGCGTCGAGGAACTCGGGGTTGTTCTTGAGCCAGGCGGCGTGGAAGTAGAGGCCAAGCGGCGCCCTATTCTGGTCGTAGTGCCGGTCGAAGTTGTGGTTGAGGAAGTTGTAGAACTGGTCGCCCGTCAAGATGTTGTTGCAAGAGTCGACCATGGCGCAGCCGGGTATGTTCTCGTCGAAGTTGGGGTCTTCACGACGGTCGAGCTCGTTGAGCACCATCTCCCAGACGGCGTGCGAGCGGGTGGGGCAGTGCTGCAGGTTGCCGTGGCAGCGGTGAGGCATGCGGAAGTACATGGTGTAGGGCCACAGGGGCGGGTTGGACAGCGGGGCGGTGATGGTCGAGTCGTACAGGAAGGCCTGCTCCTCCATCATGGTGAACTGGTTGTTGCCACCCACACGCAGGTAGGGCGCGCGCACGCCCACCACCGAGTTGTCGGTCAGATTGGCGTACTTCTCGATGATGATCCTCATGCCCGCCATCTCCTTGGCCCAGTCGTCGACCGTGGCGTTGCTCCAGAACTGCTCGTCGTTGTTGTGGCTGGGAAAAAAAGAGGAGGCCCAAGATTAGAAAAGAAGTTTAAAAAACAAAAAGTTTTAAACACCAAACGCAAGTTACAACCTTTTTAAGCTCTGCAAAACTACACATTTCTTTGATATTTGATAAAGAAATTTTCTGTACTTTAAACTCCACTCTCATTTTGGTATATTGTTGTTTGGCGGTACTCACGTGATGGAGTGCACGGCGATCTCGTGGCCCTTGCGGTGCGTTTCCTGGACAGCCGAGTAGTTGGTGTACTTGTGGGACACGAAGAAGGTGGCCTTGATGTCGCAACCGTTGGGGTTCTTGCGCTTGCCGTTGAACATCTCCTTGTACAGCTCAATGTTGTTGTTGTTGATGGCGTCGTCGAAGGTGATGGTGATCATCTGGGGGACGTCCTTGGAGGGCAGGTCGCCGGGGATGGTGGTGCCGTCCTCCGAGCAGAAGCAGTCGGGCAGCACGCACACGGCCGGGTCGCAGGCCGGGGCGCGGTTGGGGTCGTTCTCGATGTCTGCAAAACGACAAGAGCGGCACGTCAACATCCAAGTTTCCATCAGAGTAAGACAGTAGTGTGAGGCAAAGTCGTAGGTTTACGGATAAAAAAAATCCGTAATAAGTGTCGTAAAATTACAGATTGAAATTGTGAATTTACAAGCACTTCGTATCGACTCTTAGTTAGTTGACAAGCAAGAGTGTGACAAATTTAGAAGGTAATTTGTAAATATAAGTTACAAACAAATGTTGAAAATTCAATCGTAAAAAATAAAGTGGGTTTATAAAGTGCATTGCGAGAAGGAAGAATTTCGTGTCAAATTTCGTGAACAAATCCGAAGAGTGCGATCAAAAATGCAGATGCTAAAGAGTCAACTGAAATTTTCCCACGCGTCTAACCGTATTAGCTTACAGCCGGTAAGCGGAAGCGGGGGTGGCGCGCGGAAGGTAAACCCCGTGCTGCGCCTCGCTCTCGAGTACACAGCAGCGGCGCGACCAGGCGCGACCTCCTACACACACACACACACACTCACAAACACACACCTACTCCCCGACAACCCGGTTCGAGCGCGCGTGGCGCGCGTGTGTGTCTCAGACCCAAATTAAATTGTAATCCTCGATCCTCGCGCCGCAATCTGAGCGCGAAGAGAAAGCAATCAGACCACCACGGCGCCGGCTCGGCTCCGCCAGGCTCAGTGCGTCATGGTGGTGGGCAGACCAGGTCGGGCCGGCGACACGGGAAACCCAGACCCAGGGGTCAGGGGTCGTTCCAATACTACGTGACTACGGGGGGTTAACATGGGGTCCAAAATGATCAGGACCATCCTGAAAGCTCGTGGGATCCGCATAACATTTGTACCCCGGGGTACAGATATCATGGGGTCTCGATGTACTCAAATAAAGTTTCTGATTATTTTGGGACCCCATAACATTTGCACCCCTCTAAAAAGTCACGTAGTATTGGAACGACCCCCTCCCCCCCCTCACATCTGTAAACACCTTTAAATGCCACCATCCATTTAAGATTTACCTCCCCAAATGGCCTACGGAACCGAATCGGTGGGGGTCAGGAGGACCCATAATTCCTTTAACTTTTTAACACAAATTTTATGTTGTGCACAGGAAACTTCCCAGGATCCGGCGCAGCTCTGCATCTGCACTCCGACCAATCAACTCAACAACCTTGTGAACTCGTCTGACCTTAGCCCCTGGAAAACCATGCTCCACGAAAAGAGAGCGCGAGCGAGAGAGAGAGAGAGAGAGGGGGGGGGAGGGGGAAGAGTCGAGGAGCAGAGGCCACGCTTCGAGATGCGGCGGCCCTCTCTGCGGATCCGGAATTTATGCTGTTGTGTTATGATGCTGGGCGAGCCATGATTATCTCATCAAACTGGCGCTTACATCATGAAAAGAAGCGGTAGAAGAGGAGGGGGACGAGGACCGGGCGCCAAGACCCCATGGGGCACAAGAAAAAGATGCATTTTCAACAGTGAAATTAATTCTACGACGGCTAAAACTTTACTTATAATAATTTCTTGTAAAATCAACGAAGAAATTACAGTTATTTTCTTTCGTATTTTTTAGATTTTCAAATAAAAAAAACTTTGTTGATGCATCTCTTGTTGCGGTAGCTAGATAGCAAGAAAGCAGATCGACGGAAAGTACAAGAGGGCCAACCGGCTGCTGAAAAGGGATCGTTTGATCAGTTTCCTCACCGCAAGAGTTTTCGTCAGAGCCATCGTTACAGTCCTTCTCGCCGTTGCAGAAGAGTCCCCTCTCGATACAGGCGCCGTCACCGCAGGCGAGGGAGCCGTCCTGGCAGAGGGGCTCGTCGGTGTAGAGCAGAGGCTTCACCTTGCGCTCCTTGTTCTTCAGCTTGCAGTTCTTCACGGCGTCCTTCCAGTCACAGGTCTGCTTCTCAATGTCGAAGTACAGACCGGCGGGGCATCGGATGGCCTGAAGACCCTGGAGGATCGAAAGAAAAAGTCTGATTAGCTAAATGCCCAAAGCTTTCGTGCGAGAGAGGGAGGACGAACAGAAGATGTTAAAGTAGTCTTGGCAAAGGCTGACCGGCCGAAGGTCGGGCTGAGCAAGGGACATGCCCTGCTGTCTGCAACGAAGGGGCGGGTGGGGCAGGGGCACCACTGCTGCCGAAGGAAAGACTGTTTGGTGGCGATCAAGTCCCGAAAGGTCACCGCCGTTCGGCACGCTATGCCATCATGTATTCGGAGACAATCGTGACCAAAGAGTGCCCCCTCGCCCCGCGCCCCACCCCTCACGAGCGCGCTCGCACTCGCACCTCCCAGTGCGACAGAGACGACGACACCCATCATTTAAATCCGAACGCGGCCCCCAACGAGTACACGAAGCGTCGTAAGGGCGGTGGGGTGAGGCGAGGGGGAGGGGGGGGGGGGGGCTTCTGGGCCTTGCCAGCCGTGGACTGACTACACTACTGCATAGACGGGGGCCAACAGTACGAAATTTGTTGAGTGTTGAATGGTAACCAATTTGAAACTCTCTTAGCCTTGCACCAACTAATTACGCAGTACGTACAGCCCCCGCACTCCGGTCCCCTCTCTCCCTTGCCGCCGGGACTTTGCTTCGCTTCGCTTCCCCGCTCGACCCCAGACTGTCCCCTCCTGATTGTATCGATTCCATTGGCCCGGTGAGCTGCCGGTGCGAGGGACCGTTAGGGGTCCAGCCGGCCCGCCCGGCCCCGGAGGGTCCCCCGGAGGGTCCCCCGGAGGGTCCGCCACAGGGTCCGCCCCGGGGGACACCGACCGTCACGCGTGGCGGTCCCAGCTGATGCGACACGTGAGAAGCTCCACGTGTTGGCTCAACTAAAGGTACAGTTGTTGCCATGGGCGTAAACAAGGCACTTTAAACCTTCTTTGTTTTTTGGCAAAAGAGAAGGCCCTCTGTAATGTGTTTTTACTGTCTATAGACAGTCCCCAAGACTGTCTCTACCAGAAGAAAACGAGCCCCCCCCCCTCTCCCATTTTTTTGTGTAGTTCGTCAATTAATCGAACCCGGATTAAAGCACCCCTGATAGTTTTTCCTCCATGAAATTTTTGCCTCCAGAGAATTGGTGTATAGTGACATACACATTACGTTTACATCCACGAAAACTACTGAATATGTCAGGGAACCCTTGAACCACCCTCGACAATAAGCGAATACTTTGACTTCGTCGCGAGAAAGGAAAAAGTATACAACAATAAGAGAGCGTGCCGGAGCCATAGGCTTAAAGATCCCGACAGACGAACATGGTGCTTTAAGTACAGAGCATGTGCTCGGTTGTGCTGGAACGAGCTGCGACCGCGGGGGCCGACCAGGGGCCGGGGCCTTACAGCAACCTCGTGCCACTGCGGCAGTAGTTGGGCGGCCGAGGGTGCAGCAAGCTAGCTACCATACCTCGCTCCAAGATCATGACATTCCATTCAAAACTGTTTTCTTTCCAGCAAATAAATACGGATGAAGAAATTGGCTCGCAACAAAACAGTTATCTTTTCTAGTCGCTTGGTACCGCGTACTCGCTAAACTTTGAACTTATAAAACTTATTGCAACACTGTTAAATTCCTGCAAAGCAACGCTTTTCAGAAAGAAACATTCCATTTGAGTTTTATATGTACTTCACTGTTATAGCATTTACTTTGCAATTACAGAGTGGTGCTTTGCAGCGTGTTTAATTGCTTTGCAATCGCAAAGTAAATGGTTCGTAGTTTCAAAGGGTCAAAATACTTAGCAGTTCTGCAAAGCAATGTTTTCCCGAACTATAACAGTGATGTACAAAACTCAAATGGAATGGTGGTTCGTTCTTGCCCCTCTAATGCAACAAATGTCCTATCTAAAACCAAACAAAAAACAAAATAAAACTGCCAAAAGTAAAAGATATTATTTTCACGTTTTACCTTCAAACAGTGAGATGAATGACAAAATTGGGCCCCCACGTGGTCTGACCGTTACTCATGCGTTCTAGTTATTGTTTCGCCGTTATTGTTGTTGCAGGGCCGGCCGTGCGTCGGCGGCTCGGATGAGTAATAGTGACGTTTCCGCCCCTTTTGCGAGAGAGATGGCAAAACAGCCCGTCCGCCCGCGCCTTTGTTGGAAATAACATTTCAGAGATAACCCCACAGGAGCCCACGGGGGCGTCCTGTCCTGCCTCAGCCTCGCCCGGTGAATACAAGCAAGACCCCCACCCCAGAAACAATCAAGACACGACGGAGGAAACGAAAGAACGCGATTATCAAATCAAGCGGCTTCGTTGTAAGACGGCACTGCCAAAAATAAAGCGTCTCTGGATGCTACATGGCAAGTCTGACTTTACAGAGCTATTGTAAAGGTAGGAAAATAAAAAGTGTGCCTGATTTCTTAAATGTGTTTTAGGACAAAGGACAAGATGAAACTACAACATGGCCCGAGTTCTCTCATCGTGTTGCTAGTGAGGCGAAAAGCGTGACATTAGACGCCGGGCGGGCGAAACCCCGAACTGTCCAGGCTAATTATTCCTGCCTGAAATGGCCTGGCAGCAGCAGTCGGAGGCAGTGACAGCGCCCGGCAGCCGGACCGCCCGGCAGGTAGGCAGGCCCTCAACGCACCCGCGTCACTCGGCGGCCTGCCTCTCAGGCGGCTGTCCTGACCGCCGCCGCGACACCTCGGGGAGTGACAGAGCAAGTTTGTGATAGATAGATAGATAGATAGATAGATAGATAGATAGATAGATAGATAGACAGATAGATAGATAGATGCGGTACGTCCCGCACCCTGCATGCTGCCCGGTTGCGTAACACACCAGCTGATGGTCCGGACCGCCCCGCCCCGCCGCCACGCCTTAGCCCGAAAGGCCAAGGGCGGCTAACGAGCCAACGCAGAGTTACACGGGGGATCCTATTGTGCGCCGTGCCATGCTACGCCCGCCGCAGGCAGGGGCATGTACCCCCTCATTGAATCGGACAAGCCGCGCGAACACCGCAAAAAAAAAGAAAAGAAAAGGGAAAGCTGAGACAAAACAAAACGTTTTGACAGCTACCGGTGTGAAGGCCGACGGCATCGTCACTCGGGTAGTTGGAGCAAACAGCCATGTAAAGGAAGTTTTTGAAATTTTCGACTTGCTTCAAGAACTTTGTCAATCAAGTTTCCTCTCGAAACCACAATGTCTACACTGATTTGTGAAGTGAAGTCTCGACTATAACAGCACTTGCCTGTTTCGCATGTTTGCAGAGACTAGAAATTTTTAATACTAGCAAGTATTGGACTAAGAAAGCTGAACAATTTCAAAAGTTCAATCTTTCCGGGGGAGAACTTTAAATACTAGCATTCCTATAAGGGTTAAAATTTCCAGCACAACACATCTGTATGATCAAACCAACAGGCCAGCCGAACACCTTGCGAAGTATGCGGCTTATCCAGCTTATCATATATTAAACAGCGCTTGCTAGCCCGTTGACTTACCGATGACGTGCACTGGATGACGTCTCTGCAGTTGTCGCCCTCGCCGGCCACCAGTCTGAACCACTCGCCCGCATCCTTATCCTTGCACAGCTCCGCCTCGAAGCTCTCCTCCTTCTTGCTGCCCTCCTCGGCCTGCCGCCTCCATCTCCTGGGCACTGGCTGCGGCGCCCGTTTTATTCTTTGGTATTCTGCAAGCAAAGGAAAGACATGGACATGAAAAACTCTGGTCTTGTCACAACATTATTAGTTTTCATATATCTCTACGCATACACTTTTGTTAACTGCAATACACCCAATGAAGGAGGTTCTTGGATCAAGTGAATTTTCCTGAAACAAGTCAATTTCCTAGACCAGTGCTAGCCCATTGACTTCTTCCAAGGATATTTGCTTGATTTAAGAACCTTCATTTTAGGGTGCATAACATTGAGAGTATAATCTAAGGTACATATTTCGCACACTGAAAAGCTGAAGTTTCATCATTTCTAGGCCGCATCCCGAAGGCCAAATGAATGATTACTTCTTTCAATATCGTTTACTATTCCTGCACTGGATATTGTTTGTACTTCTAGAGCATGGCGACATCTTCTCATTGGAAGTCAGCGTCGCGTCCGCGTCACAGTGATGATTGCGTGACCGTGACCAACCCGGCCCGACCCGGCCGGCTCTGATAAATAAGCCCGCCCATTTCCAATTGTCCACGCCGTTTTGACAGCGGCGGGGTCCTTCGAGCACGACGGCCAACAACACCATTATTTCGTTTATTCGATTCGTCTTTGCTTTCTCTCTGTGACCCCCCCGCGTCCCTCTCATCGAGTGGGACAGCCCTTGTTGATTGATGGCGGCATCTCTCTCTCTCTCTCTCTCTCTCTCTCTCTCTCTCTCTCTCTCGTCCTACTGTTAGTCTCTGGAACCCGGAAAACCGCCGCCAGGGAACAACTCGGTCATTGTCCAAAGGCGTTGCAGCGTCGCTGCAGTGCTGACCCGGTTGGGACGTAGACAGGCTCCTCCAACGACATCGGATTTTTACCTCCACTTCTCCCCCCAACTCCTCCCCTACCTCTGCCTCCTCTCTCCGTATCACCGCCACGCAAACCTGACCTTACCAAACTGTCACATGAGAACGGCGCGACCACTCTCCGCGCGCGGTGGCCGATCGGCGGACATTTTCTCTCCGATACGATTGGACCGATGAAAGGTGAAAGTTTATGCAAAGCGGATACCGAACTACCCGTTGACGTTTTCCATCCACGTGCGTGCACGTGCAGGCGCCCGAGGCCGGACGTCACGTGCAGACCGCGTCGTGCACGCACCGACGCGGCCGTGCACCCCGAGAAGTACGCTCCCCATGTTTAGACGTGATTGAAATACAGTAAACTTTGTCCACGTGTGCGGGTGCACACTCGCTGGCGGGGCTGCAGCGTGCAGCAGAGCCATTAGCTGGATGGTGGTGCGGTGGCCCCATCGAGCGACTGCGGGCATGGGTGAAAAGCGCACGGCTCTCCGACAAATTGGACCGAAACCGGAAAATATCAAACTCGTGCCAATCGAGATTCCGAGAGTGGATTAGATGCCGAAATAGTGCAGCACAGCTAAAACACAATGTTGTCACGTGTTTCCCTGCAGTCCGAGAAAAAAGAAGAGTTTTCCCAGGCTCCCCGCTCTATGTATAAAATAGAACCCACTCAATACGAGTTGTAGTGCACACATTTCCCTATAGCCAAACGCCGGGCAGCTCACAGTCAGTGCATCACGAATAATCTTCGAGAATGGCATGGCGGAACGTCACATTCCTTTTTTCGCGGAGATAAAGTATCGTACATCATCGTATTAACTGTATGAACTACTAATCTGCAACAGTGTTTATCATTAGTCGATGACAGTACGAAAAGCGCTTGTAACAATACCCAATGTGTGACAATAGGACGTTTTTCACCACCTCTCCAGCCAGACCTACCTTACCAACCCCCATTGGCAAAAAAAAATAATGTTTATTTTCACTGCCAAACAATGGGACAGAAACGATCAATTTGTCATACGAAGAATGTATAAAGCACCGGTTTTAACCGTGACAAAAAAATATATGAGGGTCTGAACAAGCAAAGCTTAGAAAGCGAAAACCGTGCGTGGCGGACTTTGTGACACAGTGACGTGCTGCTACCGCGGCGTGCCCGTGCCGTGGGTCGCGTTAGCCCCCTCGCCTCGTCCAGGAAGAGCGCATCACACAATGGTCTGTCCGTGGGCAGGGCGGCTCGCCCCCAGCCGGCGGCGCCCCCGCAGCTTGTAACGCACAATGCTCTATGGGCGTGGGGAACCCCACGGAGCTGCGGCGGCCGGCGACGACGACGCCCCGCTGAGCCCCGCAGGGACGCTCGCCCGATTCACGACTAAAATCATCATTGTCGCGAGGTGACGCAAAAGCGGCCCGGCAACGGATCCACCCCGCGGCAGCTGACACCACATCGGATTCGACAGAGCGCGGCGACTGGCTGTGATATTCTTCAAACAGAACTATTTTAAGCTCGCAGCTGCATCCTTGTCAGATATTTTGTCTGTATTGTTATATTTTATTGCCACAAGCAATAAAACGGTAACACACAGGAGCCAAGCAAAGACCTCCCTCGGTGCCTTTCATTCACATATCATCCCTTATTAAACTGCGCAGGCGAGCCGCCTGGTGAATAAGCAGTAGCGGCGGCAGCAACAGACGCAGCGGCAGTGGCCCGGGGCCGGGGGCGGGCCCTCGCGTCACCAGTGTACAGAGTGCATTACACATAAGCCCGCCCGGGCTGGGCATGTCTGTAAGGCGAAAGCTATGCATATTTGAGCGCACCGCGGTGGCGCCACGCCACGACCTGCGCCGCTTCACCGCACTGCAGCAGAGGCTGCAGCAGTCTTGGCTGCAGCTGCTGCGGCGGCGGCAGCGGCTGGCGCACCTGCACCGCGCCACAGCAGCAGCTGCACGCAGCAGCGCGCCAGCATTTCACCAGCAGCGTGCAAGTGCGCACACGACAGAGCAGAGTGGTGGAGGGAGGGCGAGGGATGGAGATCATTACAAGCGCTGACATGACGGACGTTTCAAGAGGTGTCGCGCCAGGCACTTAAAACTATGCGGCACGAAGTGTGCGGAATATGGATGATTTACTAAGGTTAAAAGTCAAGTGCATAATCGAGTTGTGTCAATTAAAATTCGATTATGAGATATTTCAGGGTGCACCAATAATTCATCTTCTATTTCAAATACTATCTCTTAGATTTTGAAAATGCCTTTAGGAGGTATCCGCGTAACCCTAGATGCTCCTAGATAAGAGAAAGTAGCAAAGATGGAGAAAAATGCAGCTGGTGCATCGTTATTGCGTTTCGCGGAATGCTCTCCTTTGAGCTCCAGAGGGCGGGGGGAGGGGGGGAGGGAGGCTATCGGAAGTGACTGGCCCGAGCGTTGCCCGGTCGGACCCAGACCAATAAAACAATAATAAAAAGTAAATACCGAAAGCAGAACGCGAAAAGGAACTTCGTGGTTTGGCTGCTGTCATCGTCTGTTCACCTATGGAAGGCACCGATAGGCACGCAACCGGACGACACGACGTGCCATGAGTTTCCCAGCTTTGGCAATCTTATGTTTGCATACATATAGGGCCAGAGCAATTATCGAGTATACTTTATGTACTATGGTGCAGTATTTGACCGTGTATTGCACGTTTGTCGAAGCATTTTTATTTGAAACGACAAAGAGGGCTCGTTCACTCCTCCTTTCTCCTCGGTTCGACTCTTCTCCTATGGAGAGCACCAGTGGCGGCGGCGGCGGTGGCAACAGCGTCAAAGATATTTACGGCGAGACGTCACAACCAAATCGAGTATTACGTGAGTGGGCCAGCCAGGGCGGGGCGCGGTATGGCGGGGCGGGCGGCAGTCTATCTAACTCCAAACAACTTCCGACCAACAGGTGTTGTTTTATGGCTGCGCGCAGGAGAACGGCGTCGACGCTGGAACACCTTCCGAACATGCATCACCACGCATCACCACCACAAAAGCCTTGCGCTGCTCCTGCGCCGCTCCACGGCTGCGGCGTGTTTATTCGAAAGGGAAAGCAAACAAGAGTTGAAAACAAAGCTGGTCAGCTCTTTCGCTAAACGTCGTCGCCATCGCTCGCCATAGCTCCTCTTCGCGACACTTCATTTCAATAACTAGTATTCTTTTACAGAACCTAATTTCTGCTGAGAACACGAATCACTGGTTGTTGGTTCAAGCAAACTGTTCGTTCCCTTTATCCTAATTGGACATGACTCCACTTAATCTGTCTATACTACGCTGAAACGTCAGCACTACCCGCATGGAAAATTATGGCATCAGATTGTCATCAGTATGTCATCACGCCGATGACAAACGGATAACAATCTGATGACATACTGATGACAAACGGATGACAAAACGCGAATAGGCGGTTGTCATCAGTATGTCATCAGTATGTCATCATTTTGTCATCAGTTTATCATCCGTTTACCGTCAGATTATCATCCGATGACAAAAGGATGGCAAACGGATGACACACGGATGGCAAACTATGGTCGGGGGACGGCTCCAGCCAGCTCCAGCCTAACGGTGGGCATTTGAACTTTACCGCCTTATGTTTTTCTGGTAGACCGCATTTCCCTCTCATCCCTAAAGTAAGCGTCGTAGAACAAAACGGCTTACTGTAGTGTATGAGGATAACACACTCTATCCATTTCTGAGAAAAAAAATAATTCGAAAATCATCTTTTAAACGGCTATAGCTACAGAATTTTTAACACCACCATCGTGCTCAGAGCGAAAAGTTTACGCGGTAGACATCAGCTCCATCCTCCGATCGACTTATCGTCACTCCATTTACACGACTTAGACACCGTATAGGCTCGTATAGACTAGGGCATTTCGTGTAAAGCATGTTCGGTTTGAACATTCTCCAACGATCTGGAGCGACGGAAGCAGCCCGCTTGTCATCAGTTTGTCATCCGTTTATCATCAGATTGTGATCTGATGGCAATCCGATGATAAATGGATGATAAACGGATGACAAAATGATCACATACTGATGACAAACGCCGATTTCCGTTTTGTCATCCATTTGTCATCAGTATGTCATCAGTTTTGTCATCAGACTGTCATCAGATTGTCATCCGTTTATCATCGGCGAGATGACATACTGATGACAA